ACTTGCACGCTTCTTCGACAAGTTTCGCGCCATCCATAGCATGTTTTTGGAATATTGGGTTGTTTCAAACAATTGTGAGAGGAAACCCGTACGTACAGCATAGGAGCACGAACAACTGTGCCACGATAGGCTACTAGAGGCTCATTGTGACAAAAAACAAGAATGAATGCATTGAGCAGAATGAGGAGTACAAGTAGTAAACCCTAAAGTGTTGTACCCTATATGAACTGCCCCACTACAGCCTACACACACTATAGCATATATGCCTGACACACCCCCATAGGCAAAGTGGGGGAGAACAAGGGGTCACAAGACCAGTAAAGCAAAACAAAGCAAGCTCAGGGTGGATCACAATGTCACCAAACAGTCCGAGCACAAGAGCAAGGCCACAAGGCCAGTTCATATGCAAGATCATATATATAAAGGGTAAACAAGCAAGTGCAGGTAAGAAAGAGGACAGTACAAGCAAGGTCAAGAAGTGAGCAAGTGAGGCCAAGTAGGCACAAGACCTAGCACAGTACAGAAGCGCTGATGATCACAAGGCGGAAGGGCCTTGGTGAAGATATCAGCAGTCTTGGCCTGAGAGGCCACGTAGGTGAGGCGGAGCTGACCACGCTGCTGTAGCTCACGAGCCAAGAAGTAGCGGAGAGCAATGTGCTTCGTTCTGTGCTCTAGTCTGTGCTCCCGACACAAGGCCAGCATGGCCTTGTTGTCTACGTACAGAACTGCAGGAGAACGAGGCGGCTCTCCTAGGTCAGTCAGCAGGTAGGTGAGCCAGCGTAGCTCCTGTGCAGCCATGGCCCGTGCGTACATCTCAGCCTCGCAGCTGGAGTTGAGAACAGAAGACGAGCGGGTAGACCGCCACAAAACAGATCCGGAACCAAGGCTGAAGGTGTAATCCTGTGACGACCGGTGTGTCGGCTGGTCGTCAGCCCTAGAAGCGTCTGCGTGACCTGTGAGGACCACTCAACGCCGCCCTCCAAGCGCTAGCCCCATGCCCGACGTACTGCACAAGTAGCGCAACACCCCCTTCGCTGCAGCCATGTGCTCTAGACGGTGTCTCCTAGGAGCAATATAGCATGCCAAGATGCTAAGAGGGTATGCAAGGTCAGGTCGTGTGCAGGTCATCAAGTACATGAGGCAGCCAACAAGCTCTGGGTATGGGCCACTCGACTCTACGGACTCATCTGAAGGCAGAGCTGAGAGCGAGTGGCGAGTAGACAGAGGAGTGGCCTGAGGCGAGGAGTACGTGAAGCCGAAGCGCTGAAGGACCTGCTACACCATGTGTGACTGAGTCAGGGTAATGGTGCGCTGTGCTCTGTCCCGCGTGATCTGCAAGCCAGGGTAGCTGCGCAGTTCACCCTGGTCTGTTCACGTGTGTCTCTTCTGCAGCTCGGACTTCACGTGGGCGAGTTCAGCAGTGTCAGCAGTGGCAAGGACCAAGTCGTCAACGTACACGAGGATGTAGAACGGAGGCAAAGAGGTGTCGGTGCGCAGAAAGAGCGACGGGTCGACTGTAGAAGGAGCACACCCAAGAGCCGCAAGTGTAGTCCTCAGTGTGTCGTGCCACTCACGGGGCGCCTGGCGGAGACCGTAGACTGGCCGCTGAGGCTCCACTGGGTACCAGGAGGAAACGACCCAGTGAAGCCAGGTCGGCGGCGCAGCGAGATCTCCTCGTGTAGGCTGCCCTGCAGGAAAGCTGTGCTGAAGTCAAGAGAGTGAAGCTTGTAGTCGCGCTGAGCGGCTATGTGCAGCAGCACCCAAAGAGTGGTCATCTTTGGGATGGGAGAGAAGGTCTGAAAATAGTCAACTCCCTGCCGCTGACTGAAGCCTCGAGCCACGTAACGCGCTTTGAAGACAGGCGGAGAACCCGGCGGCTGGTTCACCCTGAAAATCCACATGCCACTAATGATGTTCGCCCCAGGTGGGGGAACCTCCTCGACGTAGGTGCCTGTGGACTTCGAGGAAGCCATCTCTGCGTCCCAGGCCGACTGCCACTCAGAGGAGTAGGGACCCTCGATTGCCTCAGCGTACGATCGAGGAGTCGGGATGTCTGGTGCATCCGGGTCTCCCTCAGGGGCAATCAGCGTGGACACGAGATGGGGCAAAGCAGCAGCAAAGCACTGGAACTCCTCGTGCCTGTCCTCAAGGACGTCTGTGCTAAGAGCACACTCACCCCCGACGGACGAAGGACAGACAGACTCAGATTCAGCAACGAGACTAGCAGCATAGTCTAGACGACAGCGAACAGCGAAGTCGACAAGCTCAGCAACTAGGGAAGACGCAGAAGTGGACTCAAGGAAGGGTCAGTGACATCAGAAGCCAGGAAACGCGTGATAGAAGGACTAGCAGCACGAAGAGATTCAGACTTCGGGTCAGCAAGAGCAGGAGAGAGAGGACTCTGGAGGAGACGGCTACGGGACATGCAGAGGAGCAGTCGAGAACGCAGCGCCATCCGGTGTGTGCCGGGGACGGCAGAGGACGCGGACGCGCAGTACGACAACTAGTGCGAGCAGCACGAACATGCAACGCAGGACGAGACGCAGGCTTACGACTCTCAGCAAGACCTCTAGTAGGACCAGTGTAGGGAGAAGGAGCAGGAAGAGGGGAGGCTGGCTGTAAAATGTGACTGCGACTGGACAGGCTGTGGACACTCCAAGGGAGGAGCAGGACCACTAGAGGGAGGGAGACCAAGAACCTGCTCTAGGAGCGGAACGAAGTACGGTCTGAGCCGCGCAGCGCCTCCTGAACTAGCAAGGACAGCACCAGTACACACAGCGGCAGGAGCAGCTCCCGCAACACCTCCAGCTCCAATAGCGCCACTTCAGCACCCTCAGACGCACTAGCGCCAGCAGCACTGCCAGCGCCAACACCCCAGTTGCTCCAGCTCCAGCACCTCCAGCTCCAGTAGCACCAGCTTCAGTAGGAGTGTCAGCTCCAGCAGCCTCAGCAGCACCCTCTTACGCACCAGCGCCAGTAGAAACACCAACACCAGCACCCCCCAGCAGCTCCAGCTCCAGCAGCACCAGCACCGCCAGCACCTCGAGTAGCACCTCCAACTCCAGCAGCACGTCTCCAGTGGCGGGTAAACCACTCGCGTCGGCTCCGGCGGAGAGAGCGGCTCCCGTCTCGACGAAGCACCGCCGGGGGCCACATGAGCAGACCCAGCACCCCCAGTCTCAGCACCCCCAGTCTCAAAACCCCAGACCCGGCACCCGCAAGCTCAGCACCCCTAGCAGCACCAGAGTCAACAGCTACCTCGACAGGCTCGACTGCGTCTACCTGGGACACACCTGACGGGCATGACCCAGAGGGGGGAGGGGGTCTACCGGGGAAGGACCTCGCGTAAGGAAGAGCGGCGGCGGAAGGAGGGGCGTAGTGCGGTAGGGGTAAGAGACAGGTAGTAAGGAACTGACTCGTCAAACGTGACGTCCTGGGAGGACAGAACACGCTGCGAGGTGGGGTGGTAAAATTGCCACCCAGGCGCGTCAGGGGGGAAGCCATGGAAGACGCAGGGAACAGCACAAGGGGACAGCTTGTCCGCAGACAAGTCGCGGACAAACGCCCGAGATCCCCAGACCCGAAACGCAAACAGCATCGCCAACCTTCCCTGTCCACCGCAAGGCGGGGGAGGTCTCTGGCAAGGAGACCCGGGGCTGAAGGTTGAGCTGATGCGCCGCGTACTGAACCGCAAACGGCCACAAAAAATGGGGGGCAACCGCATGGATCATGGACGTACGAGCGACGTCCATGACCATGCCAATGCGGCGCTCAGCAATCCCATTTTGCTGTGGAGAGGCCGGAAGCGTGAAGGTCTGGCGGTTGCCTTGTGCACGACAGAAGACTCCCAGACGAGCAGAGGAAAACTCCCCGCCTCTGTCCGAGTGCAGACGCAGAGACAGGAAAGTCCGAGCCGAAACTCTCCCTAAGCTGGAGACGAGCTGCGCGGATCCAATCGATCAACACCTCAGTGACTTCACCTTTGCTGTGCAAGGGAAGACTGTGGTGTAATGCAAGTAGTCGTCAACCACAAGCAGGAAGTACCGCTCGCAGCCCCTGCCCACTAACGCGGGCGGGGGCCCCACACGTCCATGTGGAGAGTCTGTAGCGGAGCCTCTGTCGGAGGAAACTCAGAGGAGTGAGGGGCGGCGCGCTGTCGCCCCTCGACGCAGGGGACGCAGGTAAGGCCAGGGCCCCGAAGGTAGGGGAGGGAGAGACCGAGGGAGACCAGAGACAAGGACACGGGAGGCCATGCCTTGGAGACGAGGCAGGGAGGGGTGACCAAGGCGGTGGTGCCAAAGGAGAGTCCGGTGGGACAGGAGACGACACGAGCAGGGAGCAGACTCAGGACCAGACCTAAACGCTGCAGCAAACACCTGACTCGACGCAGCTACCTGGGAAGACTCAGTAGCTGGAGGAGACTCAGTAGCTGGAGGAAACTCAGTAGTAAGGTGTAGAGGCTCGACCCTGGCCGACGGGTGAACGTGGCCAAGTGTTGGCCTGTCCGAGCACACGTGCATTGGGTCACCCACTGTCTTGCAGGAGTGAACTGGTCAACCCCCCTATCCTGTAGGTCCGCTCCACTCACCTCGTTCGTAGAGAACGAGGGGAGGTAGAGACCTGACAGGGTTCCAGAGGGGGGCTGCCAGGCACGGTAGACAGTGGAAAAGCTAGCAAGGACAAGACCCCTAGACGGGTCCGCCAGGGAGACCGCAACCAGCCGACTAAGCGGCGTAAGCGTGGTGCGGTCTCGAAAGAAGGAGCGGGAAGCACCTGAGTCAAGGGTGAAGGTGTGTAAGGCCTGAGCCGACATGGTACGTGAGAGAGCAGACTCACTAGCACCTGGGGTAGCAGACACACTAGCACCTGGGGCAGCAGACGCACAAGCACCTAGAGCAGCAGCCTCAATGCTCAAGTTCCGCGGTACGCACAGGTAACAGTCACCCGCAACACTATGATCAACAGCATACATGGCAGCAAGAATAGCATCAAAATCAAGATCAAAGATAGCAACCCCCGCCCTAGACAGCTCTCCACAGCGAGGGATCTCAGAGGCTCCAGGGAACTCGTGACGCCACGCGTCCGTCACGCGGCCGAAGCAGCGCTGGGAGGAGTGCGGGCCCCCGCACTGCTCACCAGCGCGGTCGCCGATGCGGAGAACGTAGGTGCAGGGACCTGTACCCCCACCGCGCTGACGCGCAGCGTACCACTCACGAAGCTGCTGAGGGGACAGGGTCTCACGACTGCTCTGCTGCGGCTGGCGCGAACCACCACCGGAGCCACTCCTCTGTGCAGAGCCGCGACCAGGTCCATTGCTGCCTCCGCCGCCGCCTCCGCCGCCTCCTCCACCTCCGCCTCCTCCGCCACCTCCACCGCCTCCGCTCCCTTCGCCACCACCGCCGCCTCCTCCGCCTCCACTGCTGCCGCCGCCGCCGCCACCCCCGCCACCACTCCCACCACCACCCCCACCCCTGCAATGCCTCCACCACCACCTCCACCGCCCCCGCCAGCCCCTCCAGCGCCCTTGCCCCCCTTGCCCTTGCCGGTGCGGAGTCTCTCGCTAGGGGCAGACGCAGCGTCGACTGACTCGAAACCTACGAGGTCGGCCGCAGCAGCAGAAGCAACAGAGGGCAAGAGGGGGGAGGGGGAACACCCCTCAAAGACGGGGGTGCGAGGGTCACCACGAGAGGCTCCTACAGCGACTATGCTCTTCTCTGCTGCTAGGAGGCTCTTCTCGAGGAGGTCAACGATGAGAGTGGTGGGGCAAACTGAGAGGAAGTGGTCCCTGACTACGCGAAAAGAGTCAGGGAGCCGGGTGACTATATAGTAGAGGGTGATGTACATGGGGGGGGGGGGGGGGGGGGGGGGGGGGGTTCTTGGCGCAGAACTCAGCAGGAAGCGCAACGCGATAGGTGGCGGCGACGGGGCCGCAGGTGGCTGCGACGGGGCCTTGGGTGGTGGCGAAGGGGCCGTAGGTGGCGGCGACGGGGCCGCAGGTGGCGGCGGGGCCGCAGGTGGCGGCTGCTTGGCCGCAGGTGGCGGCGTTGGGGCCGCTGGTGGCGGCGACGGGGCCGTTGGTGGTGGCGAGGCCGCAGGCGGCGGCGGCGTGGCCGTAGAGGGGCCTAGACGGGGCCGTAAGGGGCCGTAAGGGCGGCGGGAGGGGCCTTAGAGGGCGGCGCGAGGGGCCTTAGGTGGCCGTAAGGGGCCGTAAGGGTGGCGCGAGGGGCCTTAGAGGGCGGCGCGAGGGGCCATAAGGGCGGTGCGAGGGGCCGTAAGGGCGGCCAAAGGGGCCGTGAGAGGGGCCACTAAGGGCGGCTCGAGGGTAGGGAGGGCATACAAAGCGCGACTCGGGCAGATTTTGTGAGGTTTGATCATGGTTTTCTAGTTAAAGGATAAGCACTTACCTGTTTAATTCTAAAGGTGCAGAAAGATTCAGTGTTGTACTTGCGAACAACATTGCGTTTCTAAAGAGGCTGTATTTTGTTGCACATTCAATAAATGGACACGGCATATTTGCCCTACACCAGCGTTCACACATGGCCGTGGCCAATCAACAGATGCAGCGGCGCTCCAACTAAGTAGGATCTGAGTCACGTTCATTGAACTGATGCGTTTTTGGCAACAGCTAAGCTGTTAAAGGTGAGGTGGTTGAAGCTTGCTTGATTTTGGTTGGCTAACTGACGTGGAATGCACCCGGCTGCCATTATGTGCGGTACAATTCTTGTATGCGTTGTCGTGCCATCCCAAAGCACGTCACGCTGAAAAAAAAAGAAGATTCCAACTAGACTGCCAGGTGTTTTCGAGCGCCACCTTTTTGTACATCCTGGTATGTTCGTTACATTCGTTGGAACTGGCTGCATTGACATATGCAGTTGCGATGTAAAGGTAGAAAGATATTTGCACATCTTCGCGCAATCACCTTCATTTGACGGACACGAATATAGGAGCTCGCAAAATCCCACAGCGCAGGCGGCGTGGTTGGCCACCTCGCGAGAGTGACCAATCATCAGCTTCGGAAACGTGGGCGTGGTTTTTATTTTTCTCACAACGCACCCACATACAACAAATGGCATGGTAAACTTTTACGTGCAACAACAAAGTCCACTAAGTATCTGAAAAGCTGGTATGTGAACAGGTTATTCATGATTTGGGTAACATGTCGTGGTTTAAGATGGGCGAAGTCGAGGCCGCAAATTATCGCGCAGGGAATGGGTTGACCAAAAGGGTTCAGGGAGTTAGCGAGGAAGTGGAGGGCGTGACGCTAGAATCGCCATTTGCAACACCTATGACAGAAGCCATGCAGATGATTTTGTGAACAGCCATCGCGCTCTCTATAAGCAGGCTCTAAAGCGCCGTGAGTCCCTAAGTAACGTCTCAGTGGGCAAAAAGAAGTATGTTTACAAACTCACATATGTGCCAGCTCCTAAGAATGGTGGCTGCTCTACAAAGTCTGCTAAGAAGGGCAAAAAGGGTGGAGGTGCTACCCGCGAAGTAGATGACTTACCTGTTCCCAAAATGAGGAAGAAGACGAGGATGAGGATAATGAGTTCAAGGGAGAAGATGATGCTGCCAACGAACCTGCCATTCAACTGCAGCAGAATGTTCAGCAGCAGCAGTTTGCTCTGCACCGACACCACTTTGCTCAGCAGCAACAGAATCTTCAACACCAGCAGATTGCTCTGCAGTAGCAGAGCCTTCAGCAGCAGCATGTTGCTCAGCAGTAGTAGGTTGCTCAGCAACAACAAGGTCGACGAACAAAACGTTGCCGTCCGCGGAACACGCTTAAAAGGTGAGTTTATTCCAAGTGTTCATTGCTTGGTTTTTATGACTTGTTTCATTCTTCCAGCTATTTTCAGATGTTTTGTTTCATTTTCATAGCATATTAATCTTCCCGTTTGCTCCTATTTCCAGGTATTAATGCGCACTCGGTCAGACAGAATCACGGTCTACAGGCGCAAGTGAAAGATCTTCAGCAAAAGGTTGACATCCTGTAGATTTCTCAAGCTGAAGCACAACAAAAACCCGCCATCGCCGAGGCTAAGTGTGAAATTCTACACTCCCGACAGGCTGAGGTTGAGGCATAATAGGTGGCGGATGTACCGAGGAGGTCTCCAAACGACCTTGAGGTCAACCAGTCGCTGCTCACTAAGGACAAGGATGGCAACGTGATTCTGAAGACCAGCCTTCTTCCGAAGGAGTTCGCGGCAAGTTAAGTCTCCATTCGAAACGCGTCATTCTGCTTTTGACTGTCTATGTGTTCAAGCTTTCTTTGTACGTGCTAATCAGGCCTGTGGACCAAGATGCTTATATCTGCTTTCTAATCTATGTGTGCTGTTTTGTTTTTCATCCCGACTGCAGATAAAGGCGCAGGAGACCTTCACTTGACTGATACCAGATGCATCTATGGAGTGCATGGAGTTCTTCCCAATATGGGAAGCGTTCCAGCCTCATCTCATCACCAAGTACCGGTTGTGTGGAGTCATTTGACACGAATATTTCTATGTGCCTGGTGGTAAGATCGAGTTCAAAAAGTTGGCGATGAAGGTAATCAAAACAAAATGCAGCAACACGCACAAGAAAATCCGTTTCTATGCATGGGGTGCGGGAGGGTTGTTGGTTGAGAGCAAGTGGCCGTTGCTAGTAGTGGAGATGATCATCCCGTCGAAGAAACACTCGGAAGCGAAGTGGCTGGAAGACTTTAGGCATGGTGAGATGCACGGTTATAATGTTATATGTCATATTTTTTAAAAACCTGACTAATCTTCATGTTCTGTTCTGTGCAGCTGAACTTGGATTATTGTGGCATGTGAATAGCGAAGGTATTCCCTTCGCCAACATTGCTTTTGAGAAGGCAGCCCTTGCTGCGTTTTCCTATGTCACCTCCAATCTGGTTTTGTTGAAGATCCCTATGTTGGCGTACCAATGCATTGTGGTAAATTATAAGAGTGGTTTTATGTGTTTTAGTCTCACGTGGCCTGATCACTCATGGAATGTGAAAGCCCCCCTGCAAAGCTTCAGGCCAGGGAGGAGCCAAGCTTCCCTGGGTGGGGTTCAGGCGACCAACAGCAACTACGTCTGCGCCAAGACTAATGTGGTCGTGGCAGCGCTTCATGATGTGATGCAGAACAACCGCACCTTCTTGAAGCGTGATGAGCCCAAGAGATTGGTGCTTGATTTTGGGTGTGTGCGTATACTTATTGAGGGGTGGGACCGTGTGTTTATGTGGTGGTTTATTATAGGTGTGTAGATTTCTTTCTGTAGTGCTAATGTAACCATGTGTTGGTAGTAATTATGAACTATTGGAGTTTACAACAATTCCAAAATTATTTATGGATTGGGTATTGCTAAAATGATTTGTTACCAGGTTGCTGTAACACTATGTTGTTAATCTGGTTAGCCGGCTATGTTCATTTAAAGTTACAAGTCATGTTACCAGGTAACGTACTCAATCCTATTATTAACAGTTCCAATTGAATATCTGTTAAGAATACTCGATAGGAACGTGTATTGTAACTGTTATAGGTGGTAACAGTCGCGCTTGGCGATTTTGGATGCCACCACTTTGAGAATCGTAAACGGTCGTCTGCAGCCATTTACTACCGCCATCTTGCAAGAAATTGGGGGCAGTGTGGATTTTGGTTGGCCCCACTACTCGTTTACCACTAGGCCTTCCCCATTTACAAACTATGGTTTATTACCGCCCAAACGCAACCAACCCCAGCTTACGCTCCAACACTGTAGCTGAACAAACGGACGTATATGCTGGTTCGGACACCCCCCCATTTTCCATATAGGGCAATACCTTTGGTGGTTTATCGCCTTTGAGGTCAATCACGGTTCCCACAACACAAACGACGTAGAAGAAGGCGTTTATGATCCAAAACGCCTTCTACATTTTTCTGATGGCTGAGCAGGTAAGAACAGAAGACCAACGCCGGCTGATGCTAAGGGCGGAAAACGTTACAAGGGGACAGGCAAAGAGAACAGGATATGTCCCAGAGCCCCGCATTGCCTCACGGTTGAGGGCATGCGATTGCGATCGACTCATGCGTGCATGCGCTTGTTGAAGCTCCGCGGCGATTTAGCAAGCTGAGGCGCGAGCGGGTGCAAGTGCTCATCTTATCTTTTCAGGTAGATTGGGATGATGGGTCGGACATGCAGTGGTAATGCCACGGCGAGGATGAATGGAGCGTGGTGAATGGTGATGGATGGGTGGTGTGATAGGGGCCATAGAACGTTATCGCCAAAACAGGGTGGGGAATGCTACACAATTTGCAATATTGCACAAAACTTGAGTGTAATTTTTGTCCCAAATTCAGAAATGTTGCACTCCAGCCCCGCAATATAAATACTAGTGAGAAAGTATTTTCGCCAACCATGTTTGTTGAAGCTTGCTAACTCCCGAGGTGGATGACCCGAAGATCAAATCGGCAAAATCCCGCCTTGTAGAACTTATTCGAGATCTCCCAAAGCCAAGAATCTGCCCTTAGCAGATACTCTAGTTTTGCCCATAGCTCCAGTTGTCGCCATGCTCTCCATGCACACGTTTCTCCTAGCCTGTAACAATGTGGCAGCCAAATGCTGCCAAGTACATGAGAAGATAACTACTACAACGGGAGCTTAGAGTACTGGCTAGGCACGTGTGCTCGTGTGATGTCTGCGTTCGTTGGTCCTTAGACGTTTTCCTAGTGCTCACACTGGTTGCTAGTTCACGGGGCAATTTGGCAAGAGTTTCACTAGAGAAAGTTGTCAATATGGTACAATGAATTTGGCAATGCAAGACTACATCAGAGCTAGCATTCAGGTTGGTCGACTGCCAGCACAGCATGGCGCGACCGAGTTCCAGCACGACTTGGTCGACCACGCTACAGCAGTGCAAAGTCGACAGCTTGCCAACGCTGCAGGTTGACGGTGTGCCAGCATTGCTCACGCA